CACACACACACACACACACACACACACACACACACACACACACACACACACACACACACACACATGTTGAGCAGGCTAAGTTGTGTTGTGGGAGTGTTATTAGGAACAGATGGGTCAACATTATGGGAGTTTACACAGAAGTTTTGGGTCATGTCCTAACCACAGATTCTAATTAATCATGGGAACAAACCACATAAGCTGATGTCTCCTTCAATATCAGTTCCATAAAAACAATTAGCCACACACAACACACTTTTGTGTCGCTTTCGCCAAACTGAAAACACACAGGCCTCTTTTGACATCAACGCCAAAGCAAATTCTTTGGCTCGATGTGCGTCACATTTCTTTGTCAGCTTTCCCTAACTCGTCAAACTCAAACAGCTCTGAGGCCCGAGCTGATCTCATGTGAGACGAGCTGAAACAGAAACACACACAAACATCTGAAACGAAAAGACGGTCACACTGATTTATCGCGCTGGACGTCTCAGAGCCACGACTCCTGCCTCCGACTGTGATTTCCTTTTTTGTTCTTTATGACTGCCATTACCATTTAAAGACTGTGAAAAGCAATAAAGGCAGCGAACCCAACGTGATACACGACCGATCGGCTTGAAAGACGTTCCTGAACGTGACAGCGCTCCAGCCGGAGAAATGGCAAAGATGAAAGGCGCGGCCGCAGCTGGCGACGGCTTCTGACATTAACCCAGCGTTAATGCCAYGTCCTTTATGCCAGTCATTTACTTCCTAATGAGACTCTTATCGCTGTTRGGAAGGTGAGGCGGAGAAAGCAATCCTTGTCCTCGAACATCTCACTCTTCTTGTTTGCTCCTTGCTTATTGYGTTTGTTTTATTTATTTATTTTTTCCGGTCTAACCTTTGAGTTCAACCTGAGGAAGAGGCATTAAAATAAACCAGGAGTCCACACGTTACCTGGCTCCCCTCCCCGTGTTTAACTCTGAACACACACACACACACACACACACACACACACACACACACACACACACACACACACACACACACACACACAC